GATGTCACTCTACGTAACCCACTGAGAGGAGGCGTAACATGCTGTGATGTGGGTCTGGTGAGCACTGTTAACTAGGGGACCAAATGGCATGATCTGGAGCTATGATAGTTTGGAACTAGTTCATGCAGCTCTCTGTCCATCCCTTTTCTTCACCCTCAATCTGCCATCGGGAGTCATTTTCATCTCTTTTTGGTAGCAGGAATTTCTGAATTGAATTTGAGCTAGAAACTCACGTCTTATTAGTCAAAAATGTTGACTCCAAATTGCTTGTACGGAAGAGCGTTAAGCATTACTTCCCCAGCTTCATCAGCCTGTGCTTGGGAGAGTAGGGGAGACAGACGGACAAACGTGTCTAACCACTTCCAGTAAGTTCCACGTGGCCAACTTTTATCTTGCTACAGTGACTAGGATTGCTTCTGAACTGAGTTCCAAAGAACAATGAATGGGATGAACATTATTTTACACGGGGGTTGTTGTTATGAATATTACTTTATCAATATTATGTATATTACAATGGGATGAAGGAGATATAATAACTCAATTTTCACTCTATGTAAGGAGTGAAAATACAATTCTACATTTTATGCTAAGGGAAGTTTTATATGAATGACAAGTTTTGTATCAGTGAAATTTCTAGTGACCGATCTTGAGTAAAATAGAGGCATTATGGGAAGTGATTGTATTTCTGGGGAAACGTACATACTTACACAGAAAGTAGCGTGATCCAAATTTGGTGGACATTTGAATTTAAATAATCTAATTTTCAGAAATATACTTACCCTACACTAGGTAATACGTTGTACAAGGTCCTGTATGCAATCCTAAAGACCTGGGATTCGAATTAAGAAGGGGTATCTTTTCCTAGAATTTCAGCTTATAATGTACTTACCTATAAAAATTTAAGTGCCTGAATATACTAGCCAGAGAGGATCGAGTGCTAACATACTCACTTTAGTATATTTCAATATGACTTATTGGGATTCAAGTCCATGTGGAGAAACTCTTTGGGTGTCCAACCATTTTTTTTTTTTTTTTTTTGAGGCAAGGTCTCACTCTGGTGGCCCAGGCTGGAGTGCAGTGGTGTGATCATGGCTCATTATAGCTTTGACTTCCTGGGAAGTGACCTGCCCACCTCAGCCTCCTAAGTAACTGCAACCACAGGTGTGCACCATCATGCCTGGCTAATTTCTGTTTTTTTTGTTTTTGTTTTTTTGTAGAGATGAGGTCTTGCCATGTAACCCAGGCTGGTCTCAAACTCCTGGGCTTGAAGGGACCCTCCTGCCTCAGCCTCCCAAATCACTGGGGTTACAGGCATGAGCTACTGCACCCACCCCAGGCCACACTCAGCTTCTCAGGCATTCCCTGAGCATGCCTCAGTGGTGAGAACAGGGCCTGGTCAGAGTCTCATAGTCCACTGAGTGAGCCTAAGTACCTTGGAGACCTCACTATGGCACCAGCTTACAAGTAAAATTTGTCTTTGTGGCAGAAGAGCTTATGTCTGCTTACTTGTGGAGAAAACAAGGAGGGAATTCTGATAACAGATATATATATATAAATATATATCTGGATTGATTTGAAAGCAAAGGTGCCATATATATATATATATATATACATACATATATGTGATATAGATATATGTGTGTCAGATATGTGTGTGTGTGTGGCATATATATATATATATATATATATATGGCACCTTGGTATTCAAATTAATCCAGTGATAAGTTTAAATTTACAATTTAAACTTATATATAAATATAAGTTTATCATGCATAAATATATTAAATTTACAATTTTAACTTATATATAAATATGTTTATCATGCATAAATATATTAAATAAAAAATACAAATTTTACTTGTAATATATATATTCCTTCACATATATATTTTAGAAATCTATATATATATTATATATATGTTCCTTCACATATATATATTTTAGAAATCTATTCCTTCATGTATATATTTTTTCCTTCAAATATAAATATGTATAATTTCAACTTATATATATAAATATATATTGTAATAAGCTCAAGCATCTTTTCACATTATTTTCAATTATATTACCATTATATGTGGCTGAAAATAACTTTGCAGTGGCATCATTTTGTAAAACTGAAGATGTGCATACTAATCCCAAGTCCAAATATGTAGCCTAGACAAGCATTTCTTCAAAAGTACAAGGAGACGTGCATGCATATTTATTGCAATATTGTTAGTAAGTGACGTTGCAAAAATTTGGGAACAATCAAAATGCCTGGCAGTAAAGGAAGCTCTAAAGGAGCCGTGTGGTCTGTGTGCACCGTGCACTGTGGGGAAGTCAGACAAAAATGCACAGTCCTCTACGTGTAGACAAGTAACAACATAACACAAATGTAATGGAAGCAAAAAGGGAAGTTTTAACATCCATATAACATTTGATAGCTTTTTTTGTAAATCTAAAAGCACAAAATCTTTTATATCTGCTCATAGATTGTGTTTATTTTCATATATTGACTGTTTCTGACTTACGACGATGCGACTTACGACTTTTGACTTTACCGTGTTGTGAAACGGTTGCAATTTTGATGTAATGTACAAGAGTGAGTAACTGCATGAGGTAGTCTACATTTATTAGAAAATAGGGTTTGTGTTAGATCATTTTGCCCAGCTGCAGGCCAGTGCAAGCATTCTGAGCATGGCGAAGGTAGGCTGGGCTAAGCTATGATGCTGACAGTCTGGTTATATTATGCATTTTTGTTTTACAATATTTTCAGCTTACAGTAGATTTATCAGGACATAATCCCGTCGTAAGTCACATCTGTTTCCATTTCATCTGATATTTATTCACATACATACAAATGTGCATCTGAAGAACAGTGTCAAACACGAGTGGTTACATCTGGAGCGAGAGGCAAAGCTAAAATTAAGATGGTGCTTAAAAGACGTTCGTTTTATCTACAGCGAGTTTTTACATATAATTTGTGTAGCAAAAATACACCCATGTGGAATTATGAGTGGAAGCAACTATATTAAGGTGTAAATATTAATAGCAGCCAGTTAATTCTGGATGTAGACAGTAAAAATTATTATTTTCTCATTTGCATTTTTCTGAAGTTTTCAGAAATTTCAAAGCCTAAGATAAGGAAAATAGTTTATCTTTTTATATTTGCTTCCTTCTTGTATTGTTGGAATCTCATTTTGGGAGAATTATTAGGATTATTGTTTAATGCAAGAGGACAACCCTTTTTATAGCTACTAATTTTTAGCTTCTGTTTTTAAGAGAAGCCAGTGGTTTCCAGGGTGTTTGGATCTATATAACTTAACGTCTTGTATGTTTATAGGGAGGATCTCATATAACTCAGTTTCCTTTACCAATATAGTGTAGACATGCCAAGCAGCAATGCGTGGTATATGAGCAGCGCATCCCATTTAGCGAGGGGCTGTAGTCACTGACTTATTTAACAATGTAATTGAAAATAACAGCTTCTGTAAAATTATGCTCATTTGGCCAAAGTCTAGAAAAACATGAAATGATAGACAGGATTTTAAGATACTCTCATAAAGATTTGTGAGTCTTCATAGACTCTAAGATAGAACAACTTTTTATGGTGGTGAAGGATTTCGTTTTGAGAAATTAATTGAGAGGAAGTAAAGATAGTTTTTTTTCATCTTAGTCTCTTACTGACCCTCTCATAGCCTGTAAAATTTCCCTGATACCCTTCTCCTTGGGCCTAACATTTCCAAACAAATCACTTTGTCCTTCTTCTTACTCCTTTCATTAGAGACAGAAATTCAGCTCGAGTTAGTTCATCAAGATGACAGTTTCTGGTGTCAGGGATCTGGAAAGTCAAGGAGGACATTTGGTCTCAGGCAGTCCTGGGTCCAGGGCTCTGTGTCTTCTGTTTCCTGTATTGGTCCTCTGTGCTTCTGCTGGGCTTTCTTCCCAGCCTGCTGCTTTCTAGGGTGGGCAACAGGAATGAGTGGCCCTGGAGCTCCTTTTCCTTAGAACTCCAACCCCCAGAGAGAGAGCATGACTGCTTTATGTAGCAGCCCTGTCAATCAGTACTTGAGGACATCTCCAGCTGGCCTTGGTTGGGTCATATGTTCCCCATGGAAGAAATGGTATGTCCGTGGAGATGCTGCCTCCGGTTAACCACCCTGTTCCAAACAGGAAGAGGCCCCTGCTTGACATCTCTGTTGTAATCACATGCAGTGGGGTCACCACATGCCTGGTTCTCCAACTATAGAGGGACAGAGCAGTCCCTACGTCTGCCAAGTGTGCATGGCATTTGCTTGCTCCTCTGTTGCTTCACAAACACTCTACACCCTAATCCTATAATAACCTGCCTATCATCCCCCCTACTGAACTATCTGTGCCCAGGACCCCATCTTCCTTATCTTGGCATCCCTATTACTTAACATGATAGGTGGCACGTCCCTGACACTCAATTATTCACATGCTGAGGAAAGAAAGATGTGAATTCATAAAAGAGAATGTTGGTTGCAGAGTAACGATACTCTCAGACTAATCATTCTGTTGATTTAATACTTTGTAGAAGGCCATTGTATTCCTATACTGCGGAGAATAATTAAGTAATTAATCAATTTGGCTCAATTCAAGCAGTAGTGTTGAGTTGATGTGTGGCATCTAATATATCAATATTATTTTCCAAACTACTTAATTGGCATGTTGCCATGTATGGAATTTGTCTCACTGGCATACAAATAAAACCGAAAATAAATAGTGTCACTGTCTAATATTTTGCAGAGTTCTGTAAGGAGCCATGTCTGGCGCCTTGGGACTAGTATGTGGCCCCAGAGAGGCATAATTTGCTGGAGACACTGGGCCTCCCTAACGATTAGTGTATGATGTGTACTAGTTCTGTCTTCATCATATTTAGTCCTTCAGTACTGCACGTTCGATCATAGAAGGAGAATGAACTTTCAAGTTTCTGGAAATGATGGCAGAACACAATCAACATATTATAATCATTCTTCACCTTCTTATGTTCCTAGAGACCTGAGGTTTAACAGAATAAGAGAAATTCCAGGGAGCGCTTTCAAGAAACTCAAGAAGTTGAATACTCTGTGAGTACTTACTGCTTATCTATAAGGTTCATAAAATTATATGCCGGTTGGATTGAAATTTACCGTGAAAGTCATTGAGTGTAGAGAACGGCTGGGAGAAGAGCGACACCTTGTAGATGTCAGACAACCGGCAAAATTCTGCTGCTGCTCTGCACTGCCTGTGTTTTTACAACCTTTTGAACTTGGAAGATATTCCTATTTATCCTATTTATTTGGATTCTGTGTGCTTAGAAAAGCTTCATGAGAAGAAGAAATAGAGAGAAGGAGGGGTTACATAACTTGTCTCTGAGTCCCATGGCAAGAAAGCAATAGAAATGAAATTAAAATTTACAACTTCTCACCTCGAAAGCCCGTGCTCTTCTCAGTATGCTACGGGGCTTTCTTATTCGTGATACTCTAAAAAAACGTAGAGCTGCTGTTTTATGATAGTCTTAAATGAAAAAAAATCACGTAGGGAAAAAATGACAACTTTATGGCTAAGCACAGACAAACATTTCCAAGTGTAAAGGCAATTATTTTATTCACCCCACAGTATCTATTATCTACCGTGGGCAACCAGTTGGCTGGTTTAGTATCCGGACCCAAAGGCACATGCCCCTGCTGTGATAGAACTGGTGGTCTCCCCCTGCGGGGCGGTCAGGAAACCAGCACCCAACTATAATATGTCTGCAATAAAAAACCCCTACGTGTGCAGTTAGTGCGGTAAGGAGAAGAGAAGAGTCCTATGCGAGATGACGACCGGAGGCTGAAAATGCAAAAATCTTCCTGAGCCGCATTTAGATTCATCCACTGAGAGAATACACGGAGAGTTAAGAATGTGGAGTGAGGCTAGACCCATGTGGGTGTGTTTGTCTGCTTGTCATAATATTCGCAGGATAGAGTTAGCAATTTTGTCAATTTGGCTGAACTTCTCCCCGTATTCAGGCCAAGCTGGCCCTTCTAACTTTAGAGTTGAGATCACAACTTTACACTTGTGCTTTTCCCATCTGGTTTCTTTCCAGTCACTGATGCCTGAGCACACATATTTTTATCACAGTATCTCTGTTTGGGATGATGTAAGAACATAAGAAAGTAAGGACTGCAGTGTTTCTTCTTTGTTTCACAATAAAGCAATGGTTATCACAGTGCACTGTACGAGAACCTTTCCTGGAGTGCTTGTGGACTGCAGATTCCCAGCCCTCTTCCTCAGGGATTCTAATTTAGAACTTCTCAGGATGGAGCCAAAGATCTGCATTCTATTGAGTATTTTTATTTTTATTCTTTGAGACGGAGGCTTGTTCTGTTGCCCAGGCTGGAGTGCAGTGGTACGATCTCAGCTCACTGCAACCTCCTAGGTGCAAGCAATTCTCTTGCCTCAGCCTCCTGAGTAGCCAGGATTACAGGCACCTGCCACCACGCCCAGCTAATTTTTGAATTTTTAGTAGAGACGGGGTTTCACCATATTGGCCAGGATGGTCTTTAACTTCTGACTTCAGGTGATCTGCCTGCCTTGACCTCCCAAAGTGCTGGCATTACAGGCGTGAGCCCCTGAGCTCAGCCTATTGAGTATCTTTAAATGAGTATTTCTGGGATGTCCAATTGTTAAACAGCGCCATCAATGAAGTCTTTACCACTGTCTACTGAAATATGTAGACGATAGATAACCAAATATTTCATTCACTGATTAAACTGTAAATCCTATCAAGTGTTATCAAATATTCTCATTAGACATAGTTGCCATTTAAAAAGTTTGAGTGTGACAAGCTGATGGAATCTATTGGGGTTTGTCCACATTTTGGGTTACACTACATGATAAGTTAGTTATTGATGAACAATCCACCTCTTCACTTGCTAGAAATCATGGATATCTTTAATTGGCTTCAAATACTTTTTATTAGAAAATCATAATAAGATAGTAATTCTGTTGTTAGTTACAAGCCCCATGATTTTATACTAGTTGCTTCATAAACATGATCTATATTCCTTTCTCTCATGCTTTGCACTAGGTGTTTACGTTCATTTTACAGATGGGGAAATTGAGGTTTATGGCTATAAAGTCGTTTACCCTAATTGACGCAGTTAGAAAGGAGCAGAGTTTGATCCTTTCCACAGTTTGATCTGTTAACTGCTGGACTATATGGCTTCTCATGATGGCATTCAGGAAGAGTACTTCCCTGGAATACAGACAGGAGGTCATTTAAACAGTAAGTTGTGTGTACATGTGGGGTGCGTGTGTGTATGTGTGTGTCTGTGTGAGAGACAGACAGAGAGACAGAGAGAGAGAGACAGAGAGGAGACACACACAGACAGAGACTTCTGTCTAGAAAGTGAGCCAAGCAATCAGACACTTAACACTCCTGAGACGTCAGAAAATTTCTGACAGACCAGTTAAGTGAAGACCCAAAGGTCTTTACTAATTTATTATAAGAACAAAAGAAATAAGGACACATTTTAAAAAATAAAGTTAACATTTTCATGAAGGATATGAAAAGGTTTGACCATATGGACCTTATACCAACATAGCATTACAAAGCGCAACCAAGCATCTGGTGATTCTATTTCCTCGCATTGCCTTTCTGCTGCACAGAAACTCCACTGTTTTCTTACAATTAAAAAGTGCCAACCACATTGCTTCTGTATTGAAAAGAGAGGGGTTTCTCAAAAAGAGCTGGCATTTTCGTATTAAACAGAGCTTGCTAAGAGGTTTGCTTAATAAAAAATCTGGAAATGTTATATATTGTTGGAGCCTAAGAGCTAGAGGGTGAGATCAAGGGTCTCTTATCAGACCCTGGATGTCACCCGCTGCAGCACAGCCACGTGGTGCCTGGCAGAGCTCTGTGACTTGCCAGGACGCCTCTGCCTTCCAGTTGTGGATGAAACTGATAACAGTAACACATTTGGGAAACAGGTTCAAATTCAATTGCGGACAACACAATTATGCTTATAAGAAAGGCGACTGAGCCCTAGAGGAACAGCAGTAGCTAAACACCAAGGACAATGGAGTAGAGTATACCACAGAAATAAACAAATGCATGCCACCATTTCAATGGTAACAACTGCTATATGAAGAGCCGAGTCAGGGGCTGGCATCGCTCCCTCCTGCGCATTCTGGAAGGAAGGCCTAACTGAAAAGCAAGGTGAAGAGAACCTGGAGAAGAATGTCAAAAGGGAGGGGTCGGGGTATTTCTGGTCCTTCCAATTGTTGTGTGAAGTATGGCAAGTTATTTAACTCCTTAAACCTTAACTTTGCCAGCATGTCCTCTGACTTTTTATTTTGAAAATTTCAAGCCTACCCAAATCTCAGAAAAAGGGCATGATAATTGCTTCTTTTTCTTTTTTTGAGATGGAGTTTCACTCTTGTTACCCAGGCTGGAGTGCAATGGCGTGATCTCGGCTCACCGCAACCTCCGCCTCCTGGGTTCAGGCAATTCTCCTGCCTCAGCCTCCCGAGTAGCTGGGATTACAGCCACGCGCCACCGTGCCCAGCTAATTTTTTGTATTTTTAGTAGAGACGGGGTTTCACCATGTTGACCAGGATGGTCTCGATCTGTTGACCTCGTGTTCCACCTGCCTCAGCCTCCCAAAGTGCTGGGATTACAGGCTTGAGCCACCGCGCCCGACCTTATGATAATTGCTTTGTACCTTTTACTTAAATTCACCAGTTAACATTCTGCCACATTCACGTTTCTTTCTCTCCCCACACTCATCTATGCGTGTTTATTTTAATTTGGACATACTGCTTCCAAATATATATACTACACTTTATTCCTAGGTAAGATATATAGATATAAGTACAGTATATAGAATGCATACATGCGTATAACATATAATTAATGTATATATTAATATCGTTACATGACACTAACTTATGTTCTATTTATTTCACGCTAGTAGATAAAATGCGACTGGTTTTTATATATTGATATTGTATCCCGTGACTTTACTAAATTAATCCGAATTCTACTCATTTGTTTATGTCTTTTGGATTTTTGTAGGACAATCATGTCCTTTGGAAATAAAAAATTTTCCTTTCCAGTCTGTACCCAGTCTCAGGGACAGCACGTGATATTAGCTGTAGATTTTTTTGGTAAAGTTTGTTTTGAGAAGACAGTGATCTACGACGAGCTAGTGATTGATTTGTGGCAAAACCGCTGTTAGGTCATTTTGTCTAACTCTGACCAAGTTCCAAAGTCAATGCGTTGTTCTCACTTTTGCTGTTCAACAATCAGCCTTATCACTAGTGGCTGACAGACTAATTTATCTCCACATATTTGCACTGCAGCATAAATGGCACTGATCTTCACCAACATGAGACCAATTCTTCTGCCCATGACCTGATCCAATCCTAGACATAGTTCTCCTGGGGCAATTTCCACAATCAATGGGGCCTGAGCACTGAATGCAGTACTAGCTTATTAAAAAATGGTCATAGTAAGGCAACGTAAAAAGGGATCTGGCTGCTCTTTTCGTAACACATTTCTCTTCCTCATTGTTCTACAAAACAAAATCACAACACTAGGAGAATAAAACCCAGGTAAATGGTCTTGTCTGGTTTTCAAGCTGTTGTACTTGATCATGGCAGAAATGTTGTGGATGGCTATGGGGTGGGTGAGAAAAATCAGGGCTGATCACAGCGAACTTCCAATTACTAAACAGTTGGCTTTCATATCTACTGGAAGATTTATGTTGTTTTCTTATCTATGCCTGTGCATTGTTAAATTTTGAATATTACGCTTAATCTCTTGACGTTGTCACTATTTTGCTCTACACAACAAAGGAACATTTAAGATACAGTCCTCCTATGGAATCGATTCAAAGGTGACTAACTGGATTTTCTTTTTCTTTCTTTCTTTTTTTAACTGAGGCGCAGAGTGTACAGTGGCATGATCTCAGATCACTGCAACCTCTGCCTCCTGGGTTCAAGCGATTCTCCTGCTGCCTCAGCCTCACCACTTGTTGGGATTACAGGCATACACCACCATGCCTAGCTAATTTTTTGTGTTTTTAGTAGAGATGTGGTT